CTACAAGGAATTTTGAGTTCCCCTAGGTCCTGGATATACCTAAAACATTCTTGCTTTGCATCTCCATACCCAGGTATTGTTTTGGTTCTACCCAAGCCTGAGTTTTGGGTTCCTCTTTATGTTTTGGCTTCACCCAAATTTTATTGAATGCTTACATTTGCTCATATCTATCCCAATGTACCTTGCTTTCAAGTTGCCCTCTCAGAAAAATTACTTAACTGTGTTATTTGTGGTTATGTGGGGACTCTTGTCTAAATCCTATATAATATAAACCTTCCAGATCCTGGGAAAGGGGAAACCCTATCTCTTTTCCAACTCACTCTCCTCTACCAAACAACCTAATAAATTTCTTTCTAAAACAAACAAAAAATGAATATTCTGTCAGTTGTCCTCCATTTTTCAGTAGTACTGATTTTCTCCAGGAAATGGTATTTGTCATCCATCTAACTTCTGCTGCTTAGCTTTCACCATGTTTACCATTCTGTACCAGTTAGTGCTACTACAGGAGATGCCACTTACACCCCTCTTCCCAGATGATAGGTCCTTTAACCCACAACACTTAAGGAGAAAACAAGCCTACAAAGAGTTTGAGATCTAGCTGAAGCTGGATCTTGTCCAGATTAAATTTTGGACATCTGAAGGATATCAGTAGACAAAACTAAAAGAAAAAGAAAGACACACAAAATACAATAGAATTGTTATTGTGATCTATTTTTTTTACTTAAAACATCAGGCCCTGACTGATCTGCAATGTATAGAAATGGAAATTAAACTTAATAACATGAAGTCAGAGAAAATAGCAGGAAAGGCTCATGAAATATGTATGGGGGGGAGGGTCGGGAATTCCATGCTGGAGGTAAAACACTTTTAAAGGTAGTCAGATCTCAGGTATCAAAATATTTCAAAAAGAAGATTCCAAAAGAATTTAAAAGATTGGGAATAGTACTATAGTCAAAATAAGAACTCAGGAATAGCAATGGTAATACTAATATTTTATATTTATATAGTACTTTTAAAGTCAGCAAAGTACTTTACATAGCCTCTCTTGAGTTCAAAACAACCTTGAGGGTAGATATTTCAGGTATTTTTATCCTCATTTTGCAGATGAAGTAACTGAGATTCATAGAAGTTGAGTAACTACAAACAGAACCATTTCCCCAAAGGTAGACTCAAGGAAAGAAAAGAAACTATCATCTATATACTTACCTTCTCAAAAAGACCATAGGATCATAGGTTTTAAAATGGAAGGGACCTTAGATATCATCAAGACCAACCCTTTACTTTTACAAGTGAAGAAACTAAGACCCAAAGAGATTAAGTGACTTATCCAGATCACATAGCTAGTAAGTGTTTGGGCAAAGATTTTAACCCAGGCATATCATCCTGACTTCAAGTCCAGGACTCTATCTGGTGTACCATGCTACCCCTTTTTCTATTTTTGCTCTTTTATATTTATTTGCAGTATCTCTATGGCCTAACATATGGTCAATTTTAATTTTAAAAATTCCATGTGGCATAGAGAAGTGTATATATTCTTTTGGGGTATAAGGGTGTTCAGGGAGGACTAGCACCTTTGGTCTGAGAGCTTTCTGAACCTTTTTCAGGGCTGCTCATCCATGTGGCACCCAACTCTCGCCTGTGACTCCAAGAAGCTGTATCATGTGCAGAGGCCACATCCTGGTAGACTGTCTCAGTCGACGGGCTAAATCGGGTTGAGGATATCAGAGAGGCCACAAACCCATCAGTGAGTTGGGGCTGTCTACCCCGAGCATGTGAAGACTTCTCATGGTAACATAGGCAGATGAAGATAATTTGTTTCAATAGTCACAAAGGCAGCCAAAGCAAGTGCAATTGATCACTGAGAAGTTGGTCAAACATCAAAGATGCCAAGGTCATCCACTGCATCCTGGGCCATTGCCAATCATCTTGACTTTTGTCTTGTCACTGAACTTTGATGACTCTGAAAGAGTCAAAGGCTGACAACTTCATGCAACTCTGCCTCATTTAAATCCAATTCACCTACAAGTTAAGACATCATCCTATGATGTCATTGGTCCTCTGAAAACAAAAAACAAAAAAACAATATTTTTTGGCAGTTCCATTTAGTTACCCTAAGTCTCTTGGCTCTGGTTTTTCCAGCAATCTATCCAGTTCTGTATTTTCCCTTTTGTTTGTCTTTATGTTAGACTTATCCAAGACTGAGAGACATTGAAATCTCCTGTTACTGTGGTATTACTGTCTATATCTTCTTATACATCAGTTAAATTTTCCCCTGTGCATATTGATATTAGGACATTTTGAACATATAAGTTTAATATTGATATTGGTTTGGTATATATGGTTCCTTTCTGAAAATGTAGTTTTATTTACCTTTTTTTAGGCTTTGAATGCTTGCTCTGCCTTCTCTGATAGCACTATTGCAATTCCTGCTTTTTTGGGTTAACTTGATGCATAATCAATTTTTCCAGCCCCTCATTTTTACTCTGCATATGTCTCTTTTGAAATATATGCCTTGTAGTCAATATATTATTGTATGTGATATATAACAGTTTTGTTTTCTTATTCAATATCAGTCTTATTCATTTTATTGGATTATTTAATCCATTTACATATAAAATTATGAGAGTTGGGTTTTTATCTTTCTCTATTTGTATCTAATGCTGCTTTTCCAAATTATGATCTTCCCCTCTTCCTTTATAAGCAGAATGNTCTTATTCATTTTATTGGATTATTTAATCCATTTACATATAAAATTATGAGAGTTGGGTTTCTATCTTTCTCTATTTGTATCTAATGCTGCTTTTCCAAATTATGATTTTCCCCTCTTCCTTTATAAGCAGAATACTTTGTCTTCTTCAGCTATTTTAGGTTAACTTATTTTAAAGTGTCTCTATTTCCACCAGCTCTCTTCTTCTCACTCTTAAGCTTCACACCCTCTTGTTTGTTACCGCTTTCCCTAGTTTGGAAGTTTTGCTTATTAGTACCTTTTTCTTTTATGCTATAGCCTAATTGTTTAATTGTTCCTCCCTTTTTTCCTCCCAATTAAATAGTCAAGTGAAATCCTCTTTTCACTTCTCTCTTCCAACTTCCTTTGTTATTTTTTAAATTTCATTTTCTGTGCCTTTTTCTAGGATTTCTTAGGATTTCTTTCCTTCATTCTCTTCATTATTTACTTTTAATTTCTTTCTATTCCAGGCTTTTACTTTTTGATTTATGGCCCTTATACTTATTCTTTCTTTACCATAAAGCCTATCTAGAAGAATATTCAAATAATCAAATGGATCTATGATGTAATTGATGTGTCTACCCCCAATGTAGCACATTAGCTGTCTGTCAATAATCATCACTCTCCACAGGTCTAGCTCATTCTTCATTTTTGTTCATATATTTCTTTGATGATATCTTTTGTACCACTTCATAATTCTGTGTAATCTATTGTAATATATTTGTAATAAAATAAGAAATGTCCAATGAGACCCTAGTCCTTATAGACATGCGCATCATGTTTTGCAGATACAATCCCTACAGGTCAAAATAAAAGGACATGTTCTGTCAAGTTGTAATTCTTTTTTCCATCATTCACAGCCTGCCTTTATCAGAGAGAGGCTTTCTAATCAATTCACCCTCATAGTCAGAAATAGTGATAACCAGCAGGTGCCCTGCAAAGATGAAAACCAGAAGCTGGTAGCCGCAAAAAACTCAGCAGCCAATTAACAGTTAACAAACACACAGAGACATTATTGGTTCAAAGGAAACCACCAATGTCAAGTCAAAAGCAAGATCAGGAAATGCTAACACACGGAGCAAAGGTTAAGAACTATATTTCCAAAAAATGGGACAACAACTATTAGAACAGAAGTTTTCATGAGTCTAGTTCATAACTATTGCCATGTTATAAATATGTGTTCTTGCCTCTATCTGCTCCTAACAAAAGAAAATAAATATTAATGTTTGTATGCATAGTATACTTTATACAAATCCTCTAAGTGAAGTTGCAAGAAATAACAAGTTTTGGAAGGAAAATAAGTCCTTAAATTAGCAACTTCAACAAGAGATTCTGTGTAATGCTGTTAGCTTTACTAGGTGATCTAAATATGTTATTCTAATACCGTCCAATATTGTTCACTGGTATTTTCTGATGTCTAAATTATTCATGGCAGGCAAGAATTCTTTATAAAGAGTGTTAAACTTAATTTTTCTTACCTATTGAGATAGTTTTATTAGATATCATAAAAATGAGCTTTGAGCCTAAAGAATGTTAGAAATATTTTTAAGAAAGATTAAAGAAATCAGTCAGTTCATTGCCAAATATGTTTTAATCACTGTCTTAATATATTGATTTATATTGATAATAATATCATTTTTACAAAAATCTCTGACACATTTAGTATAACTATCACAGAAAAAAATGATTCTTTTTATTATTGTTGCCCCTCATTATTTTTAAATACACAAATAACATGTTATCAAAATATGGAATAATATGATTTTGGGACTTCTTAAAATTCCCAGGAATCCAAACTTATCA